CTCCTCCTGTTGTGCTCTGTTGCTTTTGTATCTTGTGTTGCCATGAACTATTGCCCCTTTGCCATTCCATCCTGCTTTGGAGCCGGCTAAGTATGGCCTGAAGTCTCTACAAACTGTTAACTCAGGGGCCAGGGAGATGGCTCAGTAGAATAAGAGCTTCCCTGGTAAGCGTAAGGGTCTGAGTTCAATCTCCAGTTCTGACAAAAAAAGAAAAAACTGTTAGCTCAATAAATCTTTCCTTTCTTAACACTGGGTCCTGGGTAATTTGTCTCAGCAATGAGAAAAGTAACTGAGATAGAATTTGGTACTGAGAGTCTAGCTGTTGCTGTGACTGTACCTGATTATGTGGTTCAGGAGAACCACAATGGCTTGTGAAAAGAGTCTGGAAAGGTTCGGAGATGCCAGCTGAAAAAGTAGAGCTGGAATGCCTTAGGCTGTTCTGTATGGGAGATTCTGGTCAGAGCTGAAAAGACCAGAAGGCTGTTAGAAATCCTGCCAACAAAGACCAGATTCAGGAGGTTTCTGCAGGGCAAGGCTAAATTGGCTGTTGGATTCCAGATGATGTGTGTGAGGCTTGGCAGAAAGTGTCTACATTTTGCTCATGTCCAAAGATTTTGCTTGAGACTGATATTAAGAGTGGCAGACTAATTAATCTAGCAGAAGGAATTTCAAGGCAGTCAAATATTGAGACAGTGGTATGGCTACCATTGGAGACTTTTAGCCAGATTTATGTTGAGACTCAAGAGCAAAAAGCCCAGAAAAATGATTTAAAACTTTGTGAGTTTGGTCAGAAAGGAAGCTTCAGTAAAGCTGTGAACTGCAAAGATAGTGCAGAAGTGATCTTGATTGCTAGGAAAGAACAGGAGAATAGAATAGGCCTGAGGGCATTGCAGAAAGCAGCAGGACTCCAACCTTCGCAGCCTCAAAATTGCAAAAGTGAAAGATTGTGCTTTGAGAAGAAAGCTACACAGCATCATGTTACAGAATTGCTGAAGTGTAGAAAAGTTGTGCCTCGGAATTGGATTCGGAGTGGTCAGTGACCCACGCAATCGACCCCCACAGCCAAGAAAGAAAAGCCTGACTACTGCTCCCGCTGGCAGCAGACTTTGGCAACTTTAACATGGTGCTGATTTTGCGTGTATGCAGGATGAAAATGTTGTGGAGGTCAGAAGGCTTCAACCCCAATTTCGGAAGGCCTGGGAGCCCAGGCAGTGTGCTTCTGGGAGGGAGGTATGTGAAGCTGTGAGAGTGAAGGCAAAGGTGCAGTAGGGATTCCAGATGTTTGGAAAAGCCAGGAACATGGATAATCTAAGGAAAACTGCAAGGTGGGTGTAGAGATATAGATTTGAGACAAAAGCCTGATGTTCCAAGAGAGCAGGGAACCCTGAACTGAGCCCGAGGAGGGTTGCTGTCTGTTTGCAAATTCCCGGAAAGCTGGGACCCAAAGCAGCAGATAACAGCTTCTCCTGCAGGCGCTCTGTCCTTTGATCCCTTGCTTGGGATGTTATCGGCTAGCATTTGTGTGAACCTAGTGTTAGGCAAATGGTGGAAGTCAATAGAGATAGTAATTTGTACTCACTTAGGTAATTATGCACATTCCTTAGTCTGCCTTTACCCCTCAGTAAATGTGAGATGCTTCTGAGGCTCTGGGCTCACTTGGAGAGAGACTAATCTCAGTGAGACCTCTGAAGCTACATTCATCAGGTCTTCTCGTCGTTTCTTTCGGCACCAACCCGTAACATACAACAGTGGGAGCAAAGTGCACCTAAGAGAGAAGCCATGGGAGCTACAGCCAACAGAAGTGTTGTGGGGTGGAACCATGCAAGCCCTTTGGAGTTTGTAACTCGCCACTGATTGCCTCAGATGCTGCACATGGAACTACAGGATTTAATGTTTGACCTGCCAGATTTTGGATTTGCTTTAGTCCCACTCATTTGTATTTCCCTGTTCCTAACTTTTGGAATGGAAATGTCTGCCTTATGCCGTTAAATGTTGGAAGTATTTAACTTTTTTTTTGTACAGGGACATACAAAGAGTTTGCCTCAAATCACAGAAGAGACTGTTTTGACTTGGACTTTTCAGCAATGCTGACACTATTAGGACTTTGGTAGCTCTTGCAGTTGGACTAAATGTCTTTTGCATAAAGGTATGTGCATGTGTCTTTGGGAGACCAAGGGTGAAATGCTATGGTTTGTGTCTGGATGTCCCCCCCAAATCTCATGCAGTCACTGGGGGTTGCTTTTTGGAGGCATCTGAATCTAGAGTTTGTGACTGATTCATTGTCTAGTACAGGGGGGCCTGCCCCTTAGCTCAGTTCTTTAAGTGGCTGCTTCCACAAAGCAGTCAGGCTCAGGTTGCTGTGGTTTGATCCCCACCACTCAAGCCAGCCAAACCTGCCCTGAAGGCATTCGGAGAAAAAAAATCCCTCATTGTCTAGTACAGGATTATGGGTAGGAGCGTACATACACATACCTAGATGGGTAGCCTACCTACAATATAGGGCACAGAAAGAGTCTTCTGTAGTACTCCTCCTGTGATGCTCGAGTTGCTTTTGTATTCTTGTGCTGGCATGAACTAATGCCCTGCCATCCTGCTTTGGAAACAGCTAAGTATGGCCTGAAGCCTCTACAAACTATTAGCTTAATAAACCTTTCCTAGCCAGGTGTGGTGGCCCATGCCTATAATCCTAGCACTCGGGAGGCTGAGGCAGGAGGATTGTTATGAGTTCCAGACCAGCTTGGGCTACAAAGTGAGCTCAAGACCAGCCTGAAACACATAGTGAGACCTTGTCTCAAAAATCCAAAAAATAAAACAAAATAAAATAAAGTAAACCTTTTCTTCCTTAACATTGTATGTTAGGTATTTTGTGTCAGCAATGAGAAAAATACAAGTAATAGTGAAACAGGCAGACACAATAGGAGGATTAGATGGAACCCTGGCACTCCTGAGCATAACCGTGTCTGGTCCTTTCCTCTGCCCACCAGCTGACCCTTTCTTGATTGCCAGACTCCAGCCACTCCTCTGAAACACAGACCTCCTGCTGAAGCCAGTAGGCTATGTCTCTGCTACTTATCAGACTGACCAATTTTGGAAATGAAAAACATGTTAATATTTAAAACAAAATTTCAGAAAATATTCCCCCAACATGGAAGAACACTAACCCTAGCCAATATGTTCATTTCCAAGGCAAAAACAGAAAATCCACCTGTATGTGTTTATAGTGAGGGGAAAGAACACTGTTACATGACAAGGGGCTGGTGGTGGGCTGCAGTGACTGGACACGACAAGGGTGCTTGGATGCCTGGGCTCTTTTTTGCACAGCTCCCAGCCCCTTATGGCCCCTTGCTAGAGTCTTGGTAGTCACAGCTACAACATAGTATAACAATTGTTTACATACTATCTACATTACTCAGTATTATAGGCAACTAGAGTTGATTTGAAGTACCTGAGGGGGTGCATAGGATCTATGCACATACTGCGCTATAAAATACAAAGGGCTTGATCATCCATGGATTTTTGTATCCGAGAGGCTTGAGGGTAGCCTTGAACCACCAGTCCCTGGAATAACAACATTTCTACCTTGCCCTCAAGATAGCAGTAGGCATATTCTAACTATCCCAAGATCAACTTGGAGGTGAATGCCATGCAGTAGGGAGGGAAGAAAAAATAGTCAGGTGTCCCCCACCCTGGTCTCCAGAAAGGAATGCTCTGGCCATCCCTCTCTGCTCCACAGCTAAGAACCACCTGGCAAGCACAGACCTTCCTGAAGGTGGGCGGAAGGCTTTCTGGTCCCTACTCTACCTGATGTCAGACATACAGAGCAGGGCCCAGGCAGAAAGTAGTCCTTTCCTGCCTTAAGTGCAGGTAAACTGTCCTGACAGATTGGGACATTGAGACCAAGGGATAAAGATAATAAGAAATATCCCCAAGCAGTTTTAGTTCCGGAGGGATTGGAATAGGGCCAAAATTTCCCCTCTATTTCCCATTTTTGTGATTCCCCTATCCTGGCCCAGGAACTGGAGATTAAACTCTGGTCTTTGCACCGGGCTACATTCCCAACCCTTTACATTTTTCACTTTGAGATAGGCTCTCATTAAATCGCTGTTACCTAGGCAGGACTAAAATTTAAGATCCTCCTGCCCCTGCCTCCAACTCGCTCTGGCTTGGGTGCCTGATCTGTTTTCGTTGTTTTCACAGTGGCCTTGCCAGCATGTAAGTCAAAAGATCAACCAATAAACCAAAACAGCATTCCAAAGTAAACACTTTTAAAGGTCCAAATGAGTGTAAATGGCAGATAAAATCTTGGTTTCAGGGTTTAAGGAGCCCAGAGAGCACCTGAGCAGGCCGGGACTGCGAGGCAGGCAAACACCAATGCAGACCACCCCTCCTTGAGGGAGGAGAAAGCCGAATTTCGCGGGAGGGGAGCTGACGCTCCTCCATCATGCGCATAGACACGCAAGGGCAGACACCTGCAGGCTCACGAGAACGCGAAAGGCAGAGATGCACACAAGCTCACGCGCTCAGAGGCACGTTTATGCGCAGGGCCACAGCGCCACAAAACCCGGCGACCTTTGGCTTTTGGGCTTCGCGTCTGGCATCTCCGTGCCCCGCGGCGCAGCTGCGAAGTCTCTTGGGAATGAGTGCAGAGGTTCCACCATACACCTTCTAGGCTCAGTGTTCAAAAGCTAGTATGAGGTTAGGGCCATCACACGCGGGAATGTAAACACCTGACTCCGCCCCGATCTCTCCGCCCCTCCCGCTATTGGCTGAGGAAAAAAAGACCCCGCCTTCTAGTCTTTGGGCCCCGCCTCTTCCCCATTTGCAGATCTCCATTGGCCGCAGGGCTCCCAGGAGGGACGTGAAAGCGTAGGCCCAGGGGCGGGAATGAGAATAAGATTGATGGATATCGCAGCCAATAAAAGTGCACATCCACCCCAGCAACTACGATCTACCAATGGCGAGACAGGTGGGCGGAGCGGACTGCAGTTGACAGGCACAGTGGCCTGGGTGGTGGACTGGGATCCAGCGGTGCTCTGGGCCCGCAGCCCGTGTGCTCTCAGACCGCGGAGCCGGCATGGGCTGGAGCGCCTGGCCGGCACGATGAGTGCCCTGGGCAGCCCCGTGCGGGCCTATGACTTCCTGCTCAAGTTCCTCCTGGTGGGCGACAGCGATGTGGGTAAGGGCGAGATCCTGGCAAGCCTGCAAGACGGAGCGGCCGAGTCCCCATATGGCCACCCAGCAGGTGAGAGTGGGGTCAGGGCCGGTGCTGGGGTTGGAGAGGTCGGGACTGGTCGGGTCGAGGGCGAGGGATCCGGGGAGGGTTGAGGGCGCGGGCCGGGGTGCAGACTTGGAGAAGACTTGGAGCGGGGGCTGGGGCGCAGGCGGTCTCTCCCGCGTGGATACAACAGGCGCAGAGCACATCTTCCATCCCGTCGCCTCCGAGGCCTGGGCGCTGGTGGAGGAGCAGCTGGGCGGGGGCTGTGTCTCCTCTTCCTGGGGGTAACCGCTGGTGGAGGTCCAAGAGAGCGGATCTGGGCAGGGGATCCTGTGGGTGAGCGTCTGGGGAGGAGTGGGTCACGGTATAGGGGCAGCTGTGTGGGCAGTGCCCAAGGGGTGGCAGAGGCGGGCCAGTGCCCAGGCTAACTGCTGTCTCATCGGAACTCCTACCCAAATGGACAGGTTTCCAGTGGAGGATCCCACTTGGCCCTGCAGAGTTTGGCCAGGGTGGGGAAGGACTCCAGACAAAGATCAGGGGACTGGGTTCCAGGCAGGTGAAGCCAAAGTGCTCTAGGCTACAGGACATTGGAAGGGGGTCCCCTAAGTCAGAGTTTGAAAGCTGACATCCCTGAAGAAAGACAAGGAAGGGAATTCTCATTCTGTGGGGCAAACAGAAGCTGTGGCTATTCCAGGATGGTGTGACCACTTTTAGAGCCATACAGGGTCTCTATCCATTTCTCTAGCACAGTCCCTGTTTAGTCCTGCTGCCTCTTTGCCCTCCCAGTTGCAGCAACGAGGAAGCAGTCTGGGTGTGGCCAGGCTGGTTCAGGGGTTATGATGGACAAACACTAGCAAGTAGGTGAACTTGCTGTGAAAGTGGAAGCCAGGGTGAGGATTTGCTTCTGCTCAGTGGAACATGCAAGGCACCCTGCAAAGCCAGAGGTCATTGCAGGACTACAGGTGGACTGTGTGGAGCCAAAGAGGTGATGGGAAGAGAAAAGCTGCTCTGCACAGTGCTGCTGGGAAGGAATGGAAGAGCATCAGTGTCTTAGGACAGAGGTCTGGTCACAGCATCCTCTAGGTGGGGAACGTGGGAGGGGAACAGCTGGTCCTCAAGCTGCCACTGCACAGCCACCTGGAGCCTTGGAGAAATGCAAATTCTGCTTCTGTGAGGCTGGGTGAGCCCAAGATCCTGTGCCTCCAGCTCTGCCCAGACCACTGGGCTAGTGCTCACGCAGGCAAGGGAGGTTCTGACATTGTGTGGTCCAGTGCTGCCTTCAGACTCCTGTGGCTGTTTAATTCATGTCAAGAGCCCCGTGGCTGCTTTCCTGGATGACACAGAAGTAGACTTTCCCCTCATAGCAAAGTTCTGCTGGACAGTGCTGCCTGAGGGCAGAGCCTGTGTCCACAGCTGTGTCCTCAGGGCTTGCATGCAGTGAAAGTAGTGTCATAGGGGAGGTCAAGAAATAAAGCACAGGGCAAATACTCGCTCAGAAAGGGCATGGTGTGATTTGGAGGGACAGACCATCAGATGCTTGAGTCTTGTCAGAGGCCAGTGATGTGGGCTAAAGTGAGGACAGACAGAGACAGTGGAGCCGATGCTCTTCCGGAGGGAGGACCAGGGCTCAGGGCACTTCTGCTGCATCCTTTCTTTGTGTCGTAGACCAGACTGAGGACTGCTAAAATAAGCTAGCTCCTGCTTTTTCCTGTAGTCTTGCCTCCACCCAGAGGGAGGATTTAGGTTAAAGACTTTCACAAGGTGTTCTATGGACAGCATGGCCTGAGACATAGCAGAGAAATGGTTGTGGATATATACCTTGTGGGCTTTTGATTTACCAAATCTTCGGTCAAGGGTTAGGAAAAAAGAGTATGAAAAGCAGAAAGGAGCTAGAACCATTATTTTTGTAATAAAATGACAGGTTTTGCTGTGAGAACATCTGGGTGCTCTGGCGTTGCAAGGCGAATCTGCAGTTTCACACTCCCCTCCCCTGCACCCAGAGCCCAGTTCTGTAGCCCACACTGCAATCTTTACACTGCCAGGGCTTCTAGGGCTCATTTCTGTATTGTGGCTGTAATACCCACGATTGCTTAGTATTAACTCAACATTTCAATGGCATCAGTGCCTGCTGAGGTTCTCTTTCTATGGCTGCTCTCCAGTTCTTCATTTTGTGGCCCCCTTAATCAGCCAGTTTTCATCACCAGCTATTTCTGCAGGAAGGACTCAGAGCTTTCCTGTTCCTCAAGTCAGGGAACATCTGCCCATTGTCTTTATCTCTGAACAATGCTCTAGGGTGTATTTTCTTCCCTCAGCACCTGGTGAGTATTGTTCTTAGACTCTGGCTTTAAATGTTGCCATGGTGAACCATCAGGCCCCCTGATTTTTTTTTTTTCCCCTATATGGGTGATTTGTCTTTTCTTCATGAATTTCTTTTTTCTTTTCTTTCTTTCTTTTTTTTTTTTTTTTTTGCGGACCGGGGATTGAACTCAGGCCCTTGCGCTTGCCCGGGAAGCGCTTATTCCACTGGCCATCTCTCCAGGCCCATTCTTCATGAATTTCTGAAGATTCTTTTGGGGGGCCTCATATTTAGCTAACTTAACAAGATATCTGCCTCAGAGTCCAATGCTTTATGTTAAACTTTTAGTGTACTCTGTACTCTGAATTCCTATACACATCTATTTTTCTAATTTCATAGGAATTTATTTCATGTCTTTAAAATAGCCTCTGTTACACTTGCTGTCTTTACTTCAGGAATACCAATTGTATTAGTTTGCTATTTGTAACCATGACAAATCACCACAATCTTTTTTTTTTTTTTTTTTTTTTTGCGGAACCGGGGATTGAACTCAGATCCTTGCATCTGCCAGTCAAGTGCTTATCTTACTGAGCCATCTCCCCGCCCCTCTTTTTTTCTTTTTCTTTTTCTTTTTTTTTTTTTTTTTGCGGAACTGGGGATTGAACCCAGACCCTTGTGCTTGCCGGGCAAGCTCTTATTCCACTGAGCCATCTCCTGGCCCCAATCACCACGATCTTACTGGCTTAAAAACAATGCAAGTTTTCTCTCACACAGTTCTGGAGTCAACAGTCCGGCACAGTCCTACCAGGGTGGAGGTAAGTGTGGGGAATGTCATGCTCCTTGCTGGGGCTCTAGGAGACTGTTTCTTGGCCTTTTCTAGCTTCTAAACCCTACCGCCATGCCCTGCATTCCTGTTTTTCACCATTTCCATCTTCAGAGCCAGAGGTGTCAGGTCCCATGGCTTTGACTTGCTCTCTCCTGCCTCCTCCTTCTACTTTGAGGAACTCTGTGGCTATGTTGTGCCCACCTAGACAACCCAGGGCGATATCCGTATCTTAAGGGCACCCGATGAGCAATTTAATCCCAACAGCAACCTTGAATCCCCTTTGCCAACCCGTCTGCCATGGGAACGTCACATAATCACAAATTCTGGGGACTGGGATGTGGTATCTTCAAGGCGTCCATTATCCTGCCTGTCACGTTGATTAGCCTTCTGTTGGGCCATCTCTATCTGTCTTCCACTTCTCTCTGTTTGCTCTATACATTTTTTTCTTTCTCTTCTGAATTTCTGTGATTACGGTATCGTTCCTGTTGTTGGGAGTTATGAGTATAGTAAATTGTTTTCAGCTGTTTCCAATTTAGCTGTTTAGTTATGATGTTTTCATCTCCAAATTTTTCCTTAGTTTTGCAATTTTCCTTTTTTCAATTTCGGTTCAATTAAAAATTCTAAAGTCTCATTTAAAAATCTCTTCACACTTGCGTTGTATCAATATATTTTTATTATTCTGTTCTACTGTTGAACATTAGAGTGGACTTTCTTCTGTTCGTTGGGTTGTTTTCCTTTAGGCGGTCTTTCACTTCTTTTTCTTTCCTCCCTTAAGTTTTTGTTGAATTGTGATATATATATCTATATATCTATATACAGATATATATATGGAAAAGTACATACATTGTAATTGCACACCTCAGTGAACTTCCCCAAGCCTAATATATCACATAACCAGCACCCAGAGAAAGAATGGGGACTCCGCCAGCTTTCTGGGCCCCCCTCACTGCCTACACCATTCTGTCCCCAGGGTAACCACTCTCCTGAGCTCTAGCAGACTGTTGTCAGTCTTACAAACTTATCTGTGGACAGTACAGGGTGTGTGCTCTTTGTGGCTGCTTCTCTTGCTCCTTTTGACATGTGAATTCCCAGACTGCTGTTCTCATAGCATGTAAAATCCCTTGTGTGACTATCCATGGCTTATTTGTCCACCCAACTGGGCATGTCAATTCTAGTGGTGTCCAGTTTTATGATTATGATTTGTTTGCTGTGAATGCATCTCTTGTGTTTCTGTTAGAATACACCTAAATACAAAAATGCTGGGTATCACACGTGTATGGAGCTGAGGATGCAACTCAATAGTAGAGTGCCGTGGTTTCTATCTAGATATCTCCCCCATTGGTGGGGCTTTGGGGAAGAAATTGCATCCTAGGGGTGTGGTGCTTATCAGCGGATTGGTCCATTGATGAGTTTATGGCTAACTGTGATGTTGGGAAGTGAAGTGTGGTTGGAGGAAGTGGTCACTGGGGGTGTGGCCTGGCAGCATCAATTTTCTCTCTCTCTCTCTCTCTCTCTCTCTCTCTCTCTCTCTCTCTCTCTCTTTCTCTTGTATTTTTTTTAGGGAAGAGTCTACAGGGTGTTCAGGATCTCACTACTAGATTGGACTCGGAGTGATTCTCCTGTTTATTGCTGGGATTACAGGCGCATGCCACCACGCCCAGTCTCAATGTTTTGCCGTCTCAGTGTGCCCTGGGGACAGGGCTGGCGCGGCAGACATGGTGATCAAACCCGTGGTCCCTGAGCCTGCTCTAGGTGCTTTAATCCACTGAGCTATTTGGCCAGCCCTAAAAGTTGAAAAGGATTTTTTTGCTTGCTCAGGCTGCCTTAAGGGCGAGTCTGGTAAGGCAGGTGAAGGTGGGGATCAAACCGTGGTGCCCTGAGCTTGACTGCCTTCCCTCCCTCTCT